GTTTAATATATTTTCAGTTGATATTTTAGCTTTCTTTTGAGCAAATAAAAGAAAAAATGAAAATAAAATAATATATATTATCTCGCAAAACTTCTATGTTAAAATTATTTATTTAACACGAAAATAATGTAAATCATAGGGCACATATGAGTGGTAAAAAATTTAATACTTTCAAATTTAAATCCATTTTTCATGTACAATAATACAATACATAATAATTTTAATTAAGACAAAAATACCTTAATATAAACAAATTACATCCGCTAACTTTTTTTCTTAATATTTTCATCATATATTTCATTATTTTATAAATTTAGATATTACGTTTCATAGAAAAGAAAACTTTTTATATTATTTTTAGAGTCCCAATTTTTTATATTAACTTTTATGGGATAAAAATACTTTTATCTCCAAAATCAATAAGCTTTCATTGCAGCTCAAAAGTTTTATACGAAAAGTGACTGCAATACCTGAACGCCCCATAGAAAATAGTAAAATCACTGTATGAATGATAAAATGAAATGTGTATATATCAATACACATATTAATAGTATTTTTAGAAAATAATCTAATAAATAATTGACATTATTAGAAATATTTCAAAATAAAAGACTTGTCGAAACAACAGAGATATAATATATGAAGTAAGTAATTAGTTTAAAGAGGATTATAAGAAAATATCATAAAGAAATCATAAGACTTTTTTTAAAAAATCGATTTTTGTTTACTTTAATCACAGTTGTTCGATTTTAAAGGTTTAGTTTAGGCTCGAACTACCAATTCAATAGTTCAGTGGATTAGTCTCTCGTCAGGATAACTTCAAAGGAAATAATAAGTGATAAGGCTGAAAAATATTATGTATTTAGTAAAAACAATATTTATTATTTGTAAATGATTATAATAATATTGCACTTTGATGTAGAGAGAAATAATTCTATTGAAGTAGTGAGGGTGTATTCTTGTATTCTTGAATTATTGTAGATGCTATGGATATGACTAAGTATCTTGAAGTTGAAGTAATGCTGATGTAAATATCAGCAGGTGTAGAGAATCAATCATACTCATGAGGTAGCATGAGAAGATGGTATTTGAATCAAGTATGCTTGATGTACGAATAACTATACTTGATATGGTGTAAGATGTTAAATAGAATTTATTAAGTAATCAATTGCGTCTTTAATTAGGTAAGGGGAGAAGTAGAAGAATCTGGTCACAGGTGAGAGTAATAAATGGTAAGATTTCTAACTCATGAAAGATTTAATAATCTGTATTTATAGTCTATTAATCGATCTGTTGTTGTGCTTGTGTGACAATGTGCTCTAAGGCATAGACTCTTGCGTCAGCTGTTGATGGCCTGTACGGTTTCGAAGTGTTCTTCGGAAGAACGTAAGTTTGCCCTGTATCTGCCAAAGGCCTGAATGGCCCCGAAGTGTTCTTCGAAAGACTGTCCGGTTGTCCTCTCTCTGGCGTACCTTATTGGTCCGAAGTATTCTTCGGGAGAGCGTGTGTGTGCCCGATCGACTCTTATGGGCCTGTACGGTTCCAAAGTGTTCTTCAGAAGAGCGTACGTAAGTTTGCCCTGTATCTGCCAAAGGCCTGAGTGGCCCCGAAGTGTTCTTCGAAAGACTGTCCGGTTGTCCTCTCTCTGGCGTACCTTATTGGTCCGAAGTGTTCTTCGGGAGAGCGTGTGCGTGCCCTCTCTCTACTAGCGGGCCTGTACAGTTCCGAAGTGTTCTTCGGAATAGCGTAAGTTTGCCCGATCGACTCATATGGGCATGTACGGTTCCAAAGTGTTCTTCGGAAGAGTGTAAGTTTGCCCGACTTGTGTACGAGGTGTGACTAACTGATTAATTAATATAAAAGGATGTACCTTGTAAAATGCAGGCAAGGTGCTTTACTGCTGTGTGATTGGTGTCCCCTTTGATTACTGTTCCATTGGCTTCACTGTAATCACTATTTTAAACTGCCGATTTCCTTTTCTTATGCACGCGTGTAGTCTTTACAATAATCTAATCGGCTGATTTCTTGATCGTTCCATGGCGGCTCTGCTGAAAATACCGACCGTTCCATGGCGGTCCTGCTGAGGGGCAGATCGAGACCCATGTGCCATAGCTTCTACTGGTAGATGATTGAATCGGTTCACTATGGTCGGTCACTGCGGTCGGGTCACGGTAAGATGTTAGCCGCAAGCGCAGTTGAGCGAGGGTGGTACGGCAAGAGATAATTTTCAGCGAGAGTGGTATCTTCAGCAAGAGAGCGAGGCGCGCCGCATGCGTCCCATATATCCACGCGGCGGCTCACTTAGCTAGCAACAAGGCATCGTCGTTGTTGCACTAATTCTTACACGAGGCGTCGAAGGAAAAATCTAGAACCTTCGAGAATGTTCGACGAGAGAAAAGTAGAAGTAATACCCTTGGGTGATCTTACAGTATATTATATTTCGGATCGTAAACTTGCTCGGACTTGCCGAGTTTTGTTTGTAAACATTCGCTCGAGTGCGCGTCCCAGTCCGCACGTGCGTGCCAGTCTGTACGCCGGACAGCGCGTATGACCTTTCTTTTGTTTGAAATTCTTGGGACTGCATCAATCCCGAACAACAGTTAAAATACATAACAATAAATATTTAAAGTTTATAAATTTTAATTGAAACCATTTTAATTAATATTCAAGATTAAAGAAGTATAAAGAATACTTATGAAGATAAAATAAATATAAATGTTAAATTATAATAAAATATTTAAATTATAATCTTGTAAGTATAGCATGCTTATATCATAATCCAACGAAGTGTAAATTAAATTAGAAAAGTGCAAGCATTAGAATAAATATTCGGTTCAATTTTGTATGAAGCTTTATAAAACTGAAAAGCTTTACAAAATTGAAAAAATTAATTTGAATAATTATATTTGATATTGTTTATTTTTACATCATGTAATAGAAATATAAATAAAATAGCATTGCATTACAAAATTGCACTACTATATTTTTTAATTATATACTATTATAGTTTTATTTACATATTAATTAATTTTAATATTACATACACATATATAAGATTTTTATGTCGGGAAATAGTTTCTACTGAATTAATAGCATAAATGAAACGTGACTTGAACTATATTACGACTGAAATAATATACTGAAAATAAATAATAATTAATTAAATATTTGATAGTGAATAAAACTGATAGCAAATACTAATCAGCAATGTTGAATGAGATATGTATAATAATCGAGATATTTAATCGTGTCGTTAAAGACAGATTTAAATACTTTCTTAAAAAAAAAGAGGTTAGTTTTGAACTAATTAATGATCCATTGTCTCGTCAATTGCATAATCAACAATAAGAACAACCTAACCATTTTAAACACAGCTAGTGAAATGCAACAAACTAAAAACAAAAGCAGACGCGGAAAAGTGAAAATCCTATACTGTGAACAAATACCAACTGCATACCTAATAACGACGTCTTTCTTTCGCACTTTAATAGCGCATATGTAAAGGTATTTAATTATAAATAGCTTAAATAGATAAGTATTGTACTACTCTATTTAATACATCGATATAACCATTTCATATGATTTTCATATGATTATTTTCAAGTTTAAATAAACTATTTATTAAGTTATGAAAAATATTATGATTCGTATTCTTATTCTAAAATAAGTTCATTATCACTGAATTCACTTAAAGCTTCAACTCGATATCGTCTTTATATTTATTTATATTATATTTTACATAAAAATTATATTATGACATACGTCAATTTCTGAATAACTATTAATATATTTTAATTAATATTTTATAAAAAAAATGTATGATGTGATAATAATAGGATGATAATGATATATCTAAAAATGTATTAAAACCACATACATAAACTGAATATCGTTTAAATATACATTTAAATTGTATTATGAAAAGATAATAAATTTAAAATAAATAAATAATATATATAAGTATCTAATATTCTTAATATTTCAATGACAATTCTATTTAATTTTTATTTTTAAAATCTATAATTTATTGTATTTGATAAAAGCATTATAATTTTATTAAAATTATATTTTTTATTTCATATTTATAAAAGTATATTTTTCATTATTATAAAACTAAATTTTTCTTTATTACTTTTTTTAATTCATTTTAATTTTTTTCTTTCAAATTATATTTATAAATAAAAATAAAAATAAATAAACACATTTTTATATTAAAGTATTTGTTATAAAAATATTTAATTGTATTTAATTGTATTGTATAAATGAATTTCCTTTAATTATTATTTATAAATTACATGTTTGTAATTAAAATAGTAACTAAAATAGTGCATCATTATACTATTAATAGTGTAATAATATAGTTGCGTCATTATTATATCATTTAAATGCTAAATAATAAACTACAAACTTATTTTTACTACACAATAGGAAGATAATGTAATTTCAATCAAATTTATTCATATTTGAATTTGATAGTAAATCTAATAGTAAATGTCAAATGAATAAATGTAGTATAAGTAAATGTAGTGTAATAAATTTCAATAATTAATAAATATAGCTTTGTACTTCAAATAATTCATTAATTGCTCATAAACTATATTTGAAAAAAATAAATTGTTTGTTAATTATTTTAATAATAAATATTGACAACTTAATTTTTCAATATAAACAATTGCAGTTATGTTTATTTGTACAAAAATCTACATTATATTTAAAGTAGTTTTGAAAATCGATTTTTAATATATATACATTCCATTGTATTTGTTATTCTGATTTTGAAAATTATAAATTGAAAATAAATGAAAATAAAAATACATTTTAATATTCTTAATACTTTTAATATTATAAATTAAAAATAAAATATAAAAAAACAAGTGTTGAGAATATAACTACTTTGCTTGTGAAAAAAAAATTTAAGTCATTGATTTTCAACAAATTTTGCAAATCTTTTCAATACATTATCATTGTTATTACTAATTTAATTTCGTGACAAAATTATTAATCGATCAATGAGAATATTTTCTTGTAATGTACAACTGCAGATCCGACATCTATTGGTCACAACTTAAGCAACATAAATCAAATTATGGTCGGAGGGGGGTGAAGTTACTGCATTGTTTTGTGAATTGAAATTGATTGTAAAGCTATACATAATAGTTGTTTATACAGTTGCACATAAATAAGCGCTATTATTTCTTTTATAGATTTTTTACTTTTTATGCACCTAGTTATCTTTATTAGTATGTCTCATTCTTTGCCGTACGTTGATTCATTTTTTCTCAATTCTCTACTCTATACTACTGCAACGAACTACAACTGACACAGGTAAGTATTTTTATCGTATGTGCAAATCGCACAGTGGCAATCGAAAAACATAGAAGCAAGGAGATTATTCATCTCTTGATTGTCCTCGACGTATTATTCAACTTGTCAGCTTGTAACTGTAATTGGCTGTTATTCGAAGAACGAACAACTATTACCACTCTATAGTTTCATTGAGTTTAAAGCGAATACACTGGAGGAGCGCCATAGCATCATACCATATTTTCTATAATGGCATGTCGAAGCAAGGTTATGTCATTCTCTTTTGTGCGTACGTCAACTTTTATCTACACATAAACCGTTTGTTTGTGCAAATTTTTTCTTGATTATCATTCTCATACAAAGAATGCAACTTAATAATTACTAATTTTAGATAGTGATATCTATTTTTAACCATTTTTGTTCTTACGATTATTGTATACTCCTAAATAGGGAGGGGCAAGACATTTTTACACGACATCCTGGACTATAAAAGAATGAATGAACATTTTTTAATTTGCGTTTTCATTTAGGGTACTACTGCATAACAAACAGGATGATGTCAAAAGTTAAATGAACCAGAGGACGTATTGAGCATGAACTCTTAGGTTATGGTAAACGTTTTGAATGAAAGAAGTTACAATTCAAGTTATACGTCAAGTCTTATTTTTGAGTATTTAACATGAGCATTGCTTTAAGGATGAAAATATTGTAAGCGTTGTGCTCAAGGAAGAACCTGGAGAAAAATACGAACCAAACTACATGGAGGACATTTGTTTGGGAACTTTTGATAAGGTCTTTCAACCCATCGACCATCATGAGGTGGATTTTCCTGATGACATGGTATTTATATTTATTTTCTTCTTTCACTTTGCTGTTATACATAACTCGTATTAATTGATTGCTAATGGATAATTAATCAAATAGTTAAATATTATTTTTGTTTGGATTCTTAATATCAATAAGTTTATAAAATCTTAATAAATATTTTATTTGAAAAATTTAATTACAAATTGCTTCTTGAAACTATGCATAAATTTAAACTTGTTAATTGATCAATCTATAGATTTAAATTATAACTATAATTTGATATTATTTATAGGTAAAACTAGAATTAGATGGAGAAAGTAGCCATCATCACTGGGCAGCTCAATTAGCAAGTGCAACTTTATCTGATAATGGAGAATATGGTGGACAAGGTGACCATCACTTCCTTAATACAAGTGCAGCACAAAAGTTTTATAAAATTCAGTGTACATTATGCAAAAAATGGTTTTTAAATAATGATTCTATGGTGACACATTTAAAAATGCACTGTAGTGGCAATACTTGTGAAGTTTGTCATCAAAATTTTATTGATAATGCAGGCTTACATGCACATATGTTATCTCATGTTGGTATGAGTCCAGTAGAATGTACAATATGTCAAAAAAGATTTGCATACAAATGGTGTTTACGTAATCACATGCAAACTCATATGCCAAATAAACAATTAGAATATGATAGCTTACAACAAGCTTTTTTGAAAAGATATGGTCAAAATAATGATCATATGATACGTGATGAAGAAAGGCCTTACACATGTCAAATTTGTCAAACATCATTTAGGGAAAAAGGAAATTTAAATCGCCATATGTTAATTCATACTGGTGAAAAACCTTACAAATGTGAAATATGTTTTGCTTCATTTCGTGAAAAAGCTAAATTAAATATTCATATGCCAGTTCATACTGGTCATAAGCAATTCAAATGTACTATGTGTCATCGGTCATTTGCCCAAAAAACTGCATTAAATAATCATATGCTAGCACACAGTGGAGAAAAACCCCATGCTTGCAATATTTGTGAAAAAACTTATAAAAGAAAGTCTGAGTTAATTAGGCATACAATGATCCATACTGGAGAAAGACCATATGAATGTCAGGAATGTTTAATGACTTTTAGAGAAAAAGCAAAATTAAATTCTCATATGCTGGTACACACAGGTGAAAAACCACATGAATGTCATATATGTCACAAAGCATGTGCTCGTAAATCAGATTTAAATAGTCATATGCTGTCACATACTGGAGGACAATATGACTGTAAAGTTTGTGATAAAATTTTTACCAGGAAATCAGACTTAAATAGACATATTTTGGTTCATACTGGAGAAAAACCTTATGCATGTGAATATTGCGATATGGCTTTTCGAGAAAAGACAAGACTAAATTCACATATGGTGATTCATACAGGAGATAAAAGGCATATTTGTCATATTTGTCATAAGGGTTTCCGAGAAAAATCAATGCTACGCAAACATATGCTAAGTCATACTGGAGATCGACCGTACGAATGTTATGTTTGTCAAAAGGCATTTACTCAAAAAACAACTCTTAACAGCCATATTTTAACACACACAGCAGAAGCATCTTATGAATGCACTATATGTAGAAAAGTTTACAGAGAAAGATTGGCATTGCGAAAGCATCTTGTAACACATACTACAGACAAAAATAATGAATGTCCTATTTGTTTAAAAAAATTCACTCATAAAACGGCGTTAAGTAGTCATATAACAACGTGTCATTCTTTGTAACTAGAGCCCGGTTGCAGAAATAAAAATCGCCAAATAGTTAATCAAGACATGCGAACATATATTAAACAGCAAGCACTTAGCATCTGGACTTTATACAATGGTGTTTTTAATCCATTATTTTATCGCAAGGCACCAATGTATGCCTTTATTAAATAATATTTAATTTTTTAAAAGAAAATATCGATAATTTCTTAAATATTTCGAAATTATTCATTTTTCAAATCAACATTGTCGCATGAATTAACTAAAAGGACGCTTTACTTTATGCAACCGGGCTACGAGGTCTAGTCTAATATGGAATTTTTCTCAATTTTTAAATTGTCTTCTATCTTCCGTCAATTCCGCGTGTCCGTGCCTGATATATTGAAGTAGTGTAATAAATTTAATTTTTTTCGTATAACACAAATTAATTTTTTTACTATTGCTAATGCACTGCATCCTTCATAAGGGAATCCTTATATGTATATTTAAGATAAAATCATCTGGTATCTATAAATATAATCATGTCGTTTAATAAGTTAACGAATACAAAAAATTGTACTCTTATTTCAATTTTAAATTATAAAAAAATTATTTAAAAAATTAAAGATATACACATTTTTTACATCATAAAAAGTCGATACAAATTATAAACGAACATTTAATGAAATTGAAATTCCTTTCTTGAAATCTCTATCATAAGGAAAGATATTATTTAAATTTACCTTACGCAATAATTATAAAATTTGGTGATTGACTTTTTTATTTATAGTCACTCTTTTTTTTTAATTCTAGATAAAACATTGTTCATTACAAAGAAATTCCTATAAAATAATATTATCATTCAAAGTATTAATTTTTGATAAAATATTCAAATGCAGATTTTTAAATTTAGGATATAGAACGATTATATTAAAAAACGATAATACGTTAAAGACTGAGTTTGTTCAGCTAAATTAATCAAGGAGTGCAATGAACTTGTTTTGAAATAAAATCTTCAGTTTACGAAAATCAAATATAATATATAATTTTTTGTAAACCTTGATTTCTTATTTCTTATTTACACTTTGCAGTGTATGTTATTTTATAATAATATAATTTTTATAAACAATTAAATTGGAACAATAAAATTAAAAATATATTTCATACAGTTCATAAAAATTATATTAGAATTATTGTTTAAATTTCAAAAAAGTAACTTCAAATTTATTCATATTTAAAATAAGATATTAATTTTTGTAAACAAAAAATTAAAAACTTCATGCAATTTACATTTAGAAATTTGTTCCAAATATATATATATATATATAATATACGAAACTGTAGTTATAAAATATATATTTATCACAGTATTTATTAATATTTTTAGTTTAATATGTAAAAATTTTGAATTCTAGTTTAAATAATTAGAGAGAGAAAATGTTACACTTATAAAAATTAATTTTAATAAATTAATAAATAAGAAATAAATTTTTTGATGCAATCTGTAAAAAAATATAAAGCCAATTTATCAACAGTTCCATGTATTTTTTTCTCCATAAATATTAATAAATAATAGCAAATTAGTAGATAAATAAGAGTATTTCCTTACTAAAATCTTATTGTACAAGCTCATTATTTTGTTTACTGTTGATAAAAGGCAAGATAAATGTATTAAATTAATAAATGTAAAAACTTTAATAGACTTTTCAACAATATACATCTCATTTTTTAATTTATTTAATCATTCATACTATAAATTTTTGAAAATACAGACAATTTTTATAAAATCTTTTACAAAACAACTATTATCCTTAATTGAGAAATGCGAATTGATTTTCTGTAGTTTAATATTTATTATTATTTTTAATTTGATCCGTAGAGAGGTAAAATATAATTAAAGTAATCTGATATAATAAAAACTTCTATATGGGACAATATCTATATATCTTCATTGATCAATTGTTTATATAATAATTTTTTGTTAATAATAAAAGAGTATATTAAATAAAATAAAATAAAAAACTATTTTCTATTAATTATTAAGTTAAGTAGTTATAAAACTTTAACTAGGAAAAGTTTTTTTAAATATTGGTTTTTTAATTTTTAAATTAAATCATGATAAGAAATGACCTGCAAATCAGATTTTTTTAATTGAAAGCTAAGTCTTATGTTAATTAATAAATTAATATACATAAATTTTAATAGTTATTTTATATTTCTAGAATCATTTCGAGAACTATAATAAAATAATCAATATATAATACAGATATATTATTATATATCCAAATTGTAATGAACATTTTATATAACATTTTATACATTTTGTATAGCCAAAAGATTAATGAATATAATATTTTTAACCTTGTTGAATGATAAAAGAAAAGGTCGAATAATTTGTCAATGAAAAACCTGGCCAAGTATTTAATTAACATTCAGTCTTATGACCAAATCTATTATTGCACTTAGGCCACTGACACTCTTACATCCTTTAAATATCAACTATATTATTTGGCTTAATTTTTATGTATGAATATGTATATATAATATAAAATTATCCATGATAAATATACTTGATAAATATCAAAGTATAATATATAAAAAAGGAATAATAATTGCTTGTGATGATAGATAAATTGGATCTAAATTATTATTCTAATCAATCATGACAAGATAGAAACCAACCATTTCTATTTATATAAAAAAGTTGAAATAGCAGTAAATACGTTTCATTTACATTAATTATTTTTATTTAATATAAACAACAAAATCAATTTTTTAAATTCTTAAAATTTATAAATTAAAAACAAAATTAATTTAGTAAAATTATATATAATTATTTGGTATTTTATATTATTGATATTCAAATTTTAAATATAAAACGTAATTTTACTATTATAATTTGATAATTAAACAAATTATTTAAAAAAATAAATATACAACTTAGTTAAAATTTATTCACTCTGATGTAAACTCGACTTTTTATTTTCTTAAATAGGTAAACATTTACTTTTATAAATTACAGTCTTTATACATCAATTTTCTTTAATAAAACAATCCTTTATCGTATATATATCGTATCTTTTATAGTTTTTAAAAATAAAGTAATTTAATAATACAGTTTTAAGAAGCATATAAAGGATTTTATTGATAATAATAGCATGAATAAATAAAGAATTTTAAATATGATGGAAATACCACGATTCGTCTTGTGCATTGGAACATTGAATTTAGTAGTAAACTATTCTATTGATTGTATTTATAATAATATAAATAAGACTTATTGCCTTAATAATAAAATATCCTTTCCAAAACGTAATAACAATATCAGGCAGTAATAATAATCTGTCCCATAATTTACATATAAAAATAATGAAAACAATGAAATTATTTTATTATAATTAATAAATATATATGCATTTAAAATATTGTAAATATTTTTTATAATTATAAGTGGAATATATAATATATTTACATTATATTTATATACAATTTGCTAAATAAACTATCATAATTTTTATATATAATAATAATAGTGTTATATTTAATCAAATAAAAGTTTTAAATTATTTAATATTTCTTTTATGTATTACTGGTACTATTTATTAATTATATTATTACATATTTATACATACGTATTTATTGTATTATTCGATTATTTATGTATCATTAAAAATACATATTTATTGTAATTCGTTCATATATATATATATATATACACTTTATAGACTTTTATATTATTAAGTTTATAATTTTTTAAAAATAAACTTATATTTATTATCTATATATTTATTTAATATTATTATAATCTGCAATGAGTGATACTTTATTTTAATTTATGTTGTACTAAGTTTATATTGAGATTTTAAAAAGTGATTTGAAATCAGATGAAATTAGATGAAGAATCAATATTCAAATAATAATTAATGGTAAACTCACAACAAAAACGTGTTACATTTTGGACATTTAAACCTTGAATATCTAAACATTTTTGTTATTTCATTTATTGTAACTTATTGTACTTTATTTCATTAAAAAGTATTATTTTTAAAATATTTAAAGAAAAATATACATTGTGCAAAGTGAAATTATGTGAAAAGTAACATTAAAAGAATTATATAAATTGTGATACAAGAAAAATGTTACATAACAAATATCATACATATTTTTTATAATTGTATTTTTAAATCTATATATAATATTTTTTATTTTTTGATTAATATTTTTTATTATACCTACTAACGTTAAAATTATTACTTAAATTCTAGTCATTAGTTTTAATTCATATTATATAATATTGTTTTTATTATAACAATTATATAGTTAATTGTTTTAACGTGTTAGAATTCAAAGAAAAAATTAGACATAATAATAAATATTTTATGAAAATAATGTATTAATTAATATTCAATTATAGTTTTATTTTATTCCATTACAAAAGAAAAAGAAAAAATGTCATTAGAGCAAAAAATAATAAATAGACCGTTATTAAACATACTATTTGCTGGGGAGCGTTGCTCGAGATAACAAAAATAGAGTAACCTCGGCAAAGAGGTGAAGAGGAGACGATATAGATATCATATGATATAGATGATTCCAAGCGATACTAAAACAACGCAATAATCAATAATGATTTCATACTTAAATTAATGAAGTACGATGCTTGTTTTTCTTCCAATTTTTTTAATAATTAATTGTAACAAAAAATTATTTTCATTCATTATATTTATTTCCCTCCCATACATCTGACCAAATGATAGTTGTTAGTTACTAATAATTAAGAATAATAGTTTATAATCAATATATATTTTTACACACTATATTTATGAATTCATTCATATATTTTAGTATACAAATTAAAAGGCGTTCATTCTAAATTAATTTTTTTATATTGACATTTAAAAATAACAAATATAACCTTCTCGTTTTATCTTTTTTGGAAAAAACTAAATGCTTTATAAATTATATAAAGCATAAATGTTATGCCAATAATTATTAGTTAAGAATTATTATAGTAAATAAATAGAAAATATGAAATTATCAATTAATTTATTATAATATATTTTGAGTTTATAATTTGATAATCTGAATTCCAATTAACTGCATTCATTAAAATTTGTTTAATTGTTTTATTTTTAAGTACATTACATAATTTCCTGAAATTATAAATAAACCATACAAAATTTTACATTCAATAATCTTGTAAATTTACAAATACAAATACTAAATTATTAGCTTGAAATATTAAAAATTTTAAATTAAAATTACCTATGTAGTACCAAATTGTTTTTTTTCTTCTATTTATTGTATAAGAAGAAGAATTATTATTATATTAACAAAATGATTTTAACTCTTGCATTTATAATCAAATTATATAATTGTAAAACTGTAACTTTATAAATTTGTTTCTGTTGGTTCAAACTTATTTTAGAAGATGAAAAATATAATCTAGTACAGTATAGATTTAAACA